GCGTGCCATTTTCTGCACAGCTCAAAATCGTGATAAGTGGGAACCCAACGAGTTTCGCTTATTCTCGAGAATCTTCTGGTTAGCCAGCTTTTGCATGCACTTTAAACTGAACTACACAAGCCAGAGCGCAGCAGCAGAAGTTCGAGATGTAAATGAAAGATTACCGAATTGCTCCTGCTCTTCGATGGCATTTCGGTCCTCCTCGCTGGTGCTGCTGTCCAGGATATCCGTCTCCGGCACATCCAGAAAGAATATGCTATCAAAGGCATTTGTCGCTGTGTTTTGTTGCTTTGTCGGTGTTGCAGCAACATTTGGCTGCGTCGGCTTCTGTTGCGCTTGCCTTGTGCTTTCTTGCGCCATTCTCGCCAGCCATCAACACATCACCGGTAACAATTACGGCACCGAAAAGCAGCGCTATCTGGGCCACCGCACTGTCTCTGCACTCATATCACTGGGAACCAAAAACATTTCCTGCAAAAATTAATTGATTCAACATCAAACAGCAATGGAAAAACTGTTCGCGCAACAGTCAGCGCTGCTGAATTTTGTGAATATTTGAAAGTTCCCTGCAGATGCGCAACAAATAAGCACTGGAACAGCTTGACAACTGAGCCGCAAATATGATCGAAATACGCCGAGACAGACTGCATTTAGAAGCCGATTTCCCAGCATTTAATAAAAAAGGTTATCAAATGCAACCCCCCGCCCCCTCCTCTCCTGCCAGCCCTTTCCCCTCTCTTTCCCCGTGATTCGTTCTGCAGACATATTCATATTTCAATTTCCACTGCTGGCATCGATAAGGATAGGAAGGTCAGGATGGGAGTGAATTTGGTGCTATCCAATTTCAACTTCGCATTCATTTGCCTCCTCGCAGTAATTCCGTGATGATTTCTGAGAGCTCCACACGGCCAGAGACTGTACAGCAGTTTCTGAACAAGTTGGCCCTGACGGCGGAGCTTTAGGGTAACGCAGGTGTCCACCAAACGCAAATGGAGCAATTTGTGGTACCGAATGCGCCCCTCCTAGTATTTGCAAATGAATTCAACGTTTTCTCTTAACTTCGAAAAAACTCGCCCAACCGTCCACTGCTCCGACGTTGACCGGATCGGGTGGTCCCGGGGAATAGGGCCAATGCATCGCGGCAAGCGCATGCAAAGGAAGATGCGAAGAAAAAAAGTGAAATGTGTGGCATAGTAGCGCAGCACGTGCACCCGGATCGATACGTAGTGGCGAGGATGGCAATCCCAAGGGCCAGAAACAATAA